TTCTGGGGGGCGCTCTGGAGGAGCGGGCACTTGAGGGCGCTCTGGCGGAGCTCTGGAGGTGCAGGGCTGGCTAACTCGGGGGAATCAGGAGACGAAGGAGGGCTGGATGGGACCAGCGGAGACGAAGGAGACTCAGGGGATGATAGAGAGCTGGACGGGACCAGCGGAGACGAAGGAGAACTTTCTGGAGCAGATTCTGGGGTGAGGATAGGAGCCGAGAACTCTGGAGGTAGCGCCATGTCCAAGAGCGCTGAGTCAGCGGCGGCCGGCGGGCCACACGGCGAGCTGGTTCTGGATCGGGGATGGACACTCTCCAGACACCGGAGGATCCCTTCCCTTCAGCTCAGTCCAGTGGTGTCTGGGCGGTCCACGGGGCGATGATAGTTGGCCCCGATCCAGAACAGAGAGTTAATTGTGGCGTCATCCAATGCCGTAGTAGCAGCGAGCCCGCAGAATTCCCAGGCGATCCCTGCAGGCTAGAGCAGAGAACCGAGCGGCTATTTCCATGGCCGCGGAGAGAAATAGGAAAACCAAAAAACTTTCAAAAACGGAAAAGAAACACGGAGAGGAGAGACGCCGTTCACTTTTTGTTGGTCTGGAATTCTGTCACGGTTCGCTACAGTGAAGAGCACGGAGCGAGAAACGAGGAGACGCAGAGTTGAATTCAAACTTATTGACTTTAATAATATCCAGGGAAACAGGAAAACATACATAGCAAGGGTTGACATCAACAATTCCAGACAAGGGAGAACAGAACGGGCTAGAACTCAAATAGGGCAGATAACGTGGGGCAGACAGGTGAGGAGGATAACTAATAACAAGGAAACACCTGGAACTAATAGAACTAAATGGGGACAGGAACAGGAAAGACCAAATAAGGACAAACAGGAACTAAATGGGAACATACACGTGACACTAATGTTAACAGATACAACTTTTATCTTAAAAATCCTAAAAATCCTACTGAGTTCAGGCTGAAAATTCTTAATGGCTCACTCATTACAATATAATTTATGTTTGTTGTTAAAGGAAATACTCAGTGTGGTAATCAAAGATAATTAAAGACATCAGGAACACATTCACTAAGAATAGATAGCATCTGCTGTGAGCATCATTTGCACTCTCTGTCTTTATTGTTTTAGCACCCGATTCCCTAAAGGAATTATGCAAATCAGATAATGGCACAAACACACCCACAAAAATTAAGTCTGGTCGCAAACATATAAATGGCCATATAAAGTATACACAACTGTTTAACGCTGAAACGCTGGCTGATGTTGTGATGCATCCGAACATGAATGAATAATTAAAAATGACTGGTTGTGCATGTCATGTGACATATCAAGACAAGGGCTGTCATGATGGACTTGTCATTCAAAGCAAACCTGTCTACAAGTAATTAGATAACAACTCCTCATTTAATCTCATAGGAAACATGTTGAAATGGAACCATGGTGGCAGTACATGGAGACTGCACATAAATTATGTAAATTGGGTTTGTCAATTAAACTTAGTCTTCGTACCATCATGTATATGTTTCTGTATCTCAACTTGCAATGACACATGCTAGCAACACAAGGTCATAAGTACAACACATCAACATAAAAATGCATATGTTGAGTGTGCTGTACGTCACTTCATATAAAACCTGCCTGCATTAAAGAATAGTGTGCTGGTACTAGCTGAGCATCTGGTATCAGTCTTAATGTGATGTTTGGGAAGCAGAACAATTTATATTGTCAGTGTAAATTGATGAAACCAGACCGGCAGTGGCCTCATCTTTCTGGCAGCCTGAACCCACTGTAAAACTGACAGTCTGATGGGTGCATAACCACGCTGACCCTCTCCACCTGATACACTGACAAGCCAACTGATGCTGTCAGAGTCTCTCACCCCAGTCTGACTCTGAAAGCAGTGATTTTCACATAAGGAAACAAATAAGTGTGCTTCGAAGAGAAAGGAAGTGATGGGCAGTCAAATAAATCCCTCCATGGACATCCATATTCAAACTCCAAGCCTCTGTCCCAAAGTTTAGTGCACTGTCTATGAAAAAAAAACAATTTAAGGCATTAAAGACATGCCTTTGCATGCAAAGACACCTTATTTTGGCCAAATACTTAGACAGCATTGCATGTATCCTTAGTGGAGCATGCAGTCCTATAATGATTTGCAAAGGTTGGTGGAGAAAGACCCAAACTGTGGACAGAGTGGGAGAAAAATATTAGAAATATATTAGAAAAATATTACAAATACTTGAAAACATTAAAATATTATAGTAATAAATAATAATTATAAACAATTAATGCAAATGCAATACTCAATGGTACCAAAAAAGTTGTACTGTTTTAGTTAGCTAATTTAAAGTATAATTGTGGCTATGTATTTTATGCCTACATCACAATTTTGTAAAAGGTACATGCCTTTTTTTGGGGGGGGGGGGGGTG